TCGGAGTTGGAAATTGAATAAAAATAGAAGTTGAATAAAAATAGAAATGGAAACTGCATAAAATTAAACATGGATGTTCATTGAAGAGCTCATATGCTTGCCTGTTGAAGTATTGATATAGCTCATATGCTTATCTGTTGTAGTGGTGATATAGCTCATATGCTTATCTATTGGAATGTTGATATAGCTCATATGCTTGCCTGTTGAAGTATTGATATAGCTCATATGCTTATCTGTTGTAGTGGTGATATAGCTCATATGCTTATCTATTGGAATGTTGATATAGCTCATATGCTTATCTATTGAAAGATTTGTTTGATTTGATATAACACTAAAATGTATGTCATCATCGTTTGTGAAATATGGAAGTAGTTTATGTGTTATTGATACAACACCAAAATGTGTATTCACCTTGAATTTCGAAAATGTTCTAGTGATGAACTATAATCTCATCAAGTGTTTTGGCCAGAATACTGAACCTTGTTTTCTAATTCAAAGTTGAATAAGAACTGGAAAGTGAATTGTAACATAAACTTGACTGTCCTGGAATTTTAATAAGATGTAAATGGAAGTGTAAGTGTTGACCATCTACCAGTTGCTAATCTCTTAGTTATTGTTCATAGTTGGTTTAGTATATTTTCTACTGGGCTGTGGCTCACCCTATATGGGGACATCATTTTCAGGTTCAGGTAGCTTGCCACCTCTAAGGACATAGCTTGGGAGGCTAGAGGCGGACATACTTTGGTGGTCTTATTTTTTTTTATATTATATATAGTTTCAAGCCAAGGGCGTGAGGTGTAATTGAGTTAGCATTCTCTTTTGTAACCAAGTGTTAACTTGGAAAGCTGTAAGCCCGTAGGGCATTTGTTTTGTTGTAAACATGTAATACTTTTGTAATAAAATACTCTGATGGATAGATGAATGTGGATCTTTATGTATCTATGCATGTCTCTATTGAGGGGTTTAATGTTATTATTTTGAGGGCGTTACAACCAGACCTCATAAAATTGAATTTGACATTTCGATTTTTATGGTGGTGCCCAAGCACAGTCAAGAACATAGCAACCTTTTCCTCTAACACAACAAATTTTGAATCTGACACACCCTTTGTTCTGATAAGCCCACACAACCGCAGAAAGGTATGCCTATTCATTCGTAGTTGTTCATGGCAATCTATGTCATTATCTCTGACCAACCTATTTAGGTGGTCAAGTTGTTGTTTGAAAGGATTAGGATTTCTACTTATTTTCCTCGTAGCCTCAAATCTTTCCAGTGCAGCATGCAAAACGACTATATAAACTCCACAAGTAAAATTCATGGATGATGCAATATGTTGCAGGGCAACATAGGCCTCAATAAGGTCCCTCCTACATCAAATCCTTTATTACTTGCCATCTATGAAAAGAAATAGTGCATAAGTAAATTAAATAACTAAAGCAATCAAATAAATAACTAAATCAATGCTAACTATTATTCACAACAGCCCCATGTAAACAATCAAATTATGCAAAATAAAATCTGATTCAATCAAAAATCAGTGGGTAAACTAACTTATTATGTAAACTAACTTTCCCAATATATAAAATCAGATTATTTATTATGTAAGCTTATTATGTAAACTAACTTTCCCAACTCACTGGATATAAAATCTGATTATGTAAACTAACTTTATTTATTTTTATAATCTGGATATAAACTATTTATTTTTATAATCTGGATATAAACTAATTATGTAAACTAAATCTGATTATGTAAACTAACTTTATTTATTGATTATATAAAATCTGGATATAAAATCAGATTATCTTTAAGCTATCTTTTCCAATATATAAAAATCTAATTATGTAAAAAAATCAAACTCTTCATAGATTATTTATTTATTTTAATTTTTTTTAATGTCAAGAGTTTGATTCAATCAAATTCCTAGACTTTACATACAAAATAAATAAATTTTTATTGCTTGAATCAAAGCCCCCAAAATAAATAAATAAATAAATAAAACAGAAATATAAATCTGGTTCCAATAAAACAATGAAACAGAGACAAGTTTTTACTAATTGAATCAAATTTGATTACAAAACAAACAAAGCCCTCTTCTGTTATCTCAGTGGGTTTACAAAACAAACAAAGCCCTCGAATTTGATTACAAAACAAACAAAGCCCTCTTTAGATTGAACAAAAAGTTCCAAAAAACAGTGGGTTTATTCCAAAAAGAGCCAAAAAGTTTGAAAAGTTCCAAATCAGTGGGTTTACAAATCAGTTTAAAAGCTTTCTGTTATCTCAGTGGGTTTAGAAATCAAAGTTCCAAAAATAAATTTAGAAATCAGTGGGTTTAGAAATCAAAGTTCCAAAAATCAATTTAGATTGAAACTTTCACAAGTTTCTGGCCCTCTTCTTTACGATTTTTGTTCCAAAAAACAGTGGGTTTATTCCAATCGATTTTTGTTAAAAATCATACAAACAAAACCTAAAACCAGAAAATCAAAAAAAAAAAAGAAAGCAAGGTAGAGGGAAAAGATGATAATCACCAGAATGAAGTGTTGCCAACGGAAATCAGTCACAAAATTTAGAAGATCTACATGATGTAAACCAGAGCCTTTTTCTCTTCTGCTGGATGTATATGAGCTGCATATATTTTCTGAGCCCTAGTCTGTGTATATAAAATAGACGAGGGTATATTGGACTTTTTAACTCATATCCCAGACGAGGGGATATGATATAACAGGGGGGGCTGGGATTGTATATCCTCCAAATTTGGGGGATATACAATCCGAAGGTATATTATATCCCCTTCAAACAAAATTTGCAAACATGGGATATGTGGGTCCCATTGGATATAATATCCAATCCCAATCTTCATATCCTGCAAACAAACAGGGCCTTAATGAATATATTCAATTTTTTCAAATATATGGATTAGTTAGAGAAGAATCAGCCCCTCATTCCCCTTTCGCAAAACGGTGTTGTGAAACGAAAAAGTAGAACTTTATTAGAAATGGTTAGTGCTATGTTAATTCATTTAAAATTGCTTAATAACTTTTGGGGTGAGACTTTATTTCTGGCTTGTCATATTTCCAATATAATCATACTTCAAAATAAAAATAAGTCTCCTTATGAATTGTGGAAAAATCATAAACTATTTCCTTATGAATTGTGGAAAAATGATAAATTAATATTAATTATATTAAGCTTTGGGGTTGTATTGCTTATGTTTTAGATGTTTCACATAAAAGACCTAAGTTAGAAAGTAAGGCAACGAAATTTGTTTTTATAGGATATTCTATGAATAGTAAAGCTTCTAGATTTTTTAATTTAAATTCGAGTAGTGTTTTTGAAGTAATTCATTCAATTTATTAAAAACATTTGACTATTAAAGATGATAATAATCATAAATAGGAAAAAAATTGTTAATTGATTTAGACAATACTAATCCTTCTTTGAATGATTCACTAATTGATAATGGAATGCCTAAGGTTAGTGATAATAATAAAGAAACTGAAATAGTAGATAAATCTATTGAATTGATATGAAGAAAAAGACGAAGAATCTAAAGATTTTGGTCCTAGAATATTTACTTATTTATTAGATCATGGTCAAGATCCAAAAACTTTTAATGAGGCTATGTCTTTGCATGATGCTAATTTATGAAAAATTGCTATGGATGATGAAATTAAATGTATTCATGATAACAACACTTGGACTTTAACAAATCTTCCTCCTAATACAAAACCAATAAGATGTAAATGGGTGTTAAGAAAGAAACTTAAAACTGATGAAAGTATAGATAAATAGAAGACAAGATTAATTGCTAAACAGTATAGTCAAAAAGAAGGCATGGACTTTTTTGAAATCTTTTCTCTTGTTACTAAAATAATTGCCACAAGGATTATGTTTGCTATTGCTTTTGTTTATCATCTTGAAGTTTATCAAATGGATATAAATATTGCTTTTCTTAATGGTACTCTTGAAGAAGAAATTTATGTTAATCAACTTGAAGGTTATGTTATTAAAGGTGATGAGACAGTTCGTTCCAAGCGGAACGGGTCGGACTGATCCGCGCTCCTCGATCCTACGTCCGAATGACCAAGCCCACCGGAAGACCTGCACACGAGTTCGACAGAGAACAAGGAGTCCCCCAGCGAACACTTCGACGAGCAAGTTAGAAAGAGAAGTGGAGTATAGGGGTGGGTTAGAGATAGAAAGCTTAACCTTTTTCCTGTCTTCGGCGTTTGCTTATATCCTCTGATAATCATTTCGTTGTCCCTTCTGACCTGTCACCTTGGCCGAAAGTCTATGCTCTAGCTCACCTTGTTCATGGTGAAGCCGTTCTGTCCCGACGGAGAGGGGTTATTGCAATAAATGATGTAAGGGGCTTCATTAACGGCGATGTGCAGTGGCAATAATTTTACAGGATCTTTGTCTGCTTATGTGGCTTGTCCTTCACCTGCCACGTGTCTGAATATCATTGGTTCTTAATGCCATGTTGACTTCCAGCTATGTTGGGCCTCATCAGTTGAACTATGTATTGGGCCCTAAGTGGTAGGCTTGGGTTGTTCATAGTGGGCTATAGCCTTTATGGGCCTACCTATGTCAGTAGTCCCCCATTCCCAAGTGCAGCTTTAGCCCAACGAAGGGAATAATAAAGAAATCGATAGGGTGAGGATCGACCGTGAGGAGGGCCGACCGCAAAGGGTGGCTGAGTGGAGGGGCCGATCATGAGGAGGGCCGACCGCGAAGGGTAGCCAAGTGGAAGGATCGCCGTAAGGAGGGCCGACCGCGAAGGGTGGCCGAGTGATATGGCGCAGGGCTCGAGAGGCGGCGTGGCATGTGCTGAAGCGAAGTGAAATAGACAGGAAAGGGGAAAGAGGGGCAGTGGATCGTGGTCGTACACGTGGCAGAATCTCGCAGTGGGGGAGGTTAGGCTTTGGGCAAAAAGTGAAATGATAGGTCATTATAGGGTGTTGAAAAGACAGTTTGGGCGGATTTGAAAAATTTTCAAACTGGCGAAAATTAATTGTGACCCTTGGAATACAGGCAAGCCTTAGGCTTTTGGTATTATTCGTTTTACCTACCTTTTTGCAAAAAATCCAAACATTCCAAGTGTAAACTCCTTCGTTGCTAACGATACACCCCTGCAACACTTTTTGAATTTTCTTACGCCCGCATCCGAAACTATTCACAGACATACGAGAGAGATGGCTCAAGAGGAAGCAACAACCGCGAGGGTTGATCCCCTAGGTGACGATGACGTGGTTGACTTGGCAGAACAATACCGGACGGAGTGTAGGGAGGGGGAGGGAACGAGTCAAGCGGTGCGGCCTTTGCCCAGGACAATGATTTCGGTCGCGTGGCCTATCAGTCAGGTGAAGCCAGACCATTGGCACACCAAACCGAATAGATCTGTACTGACAGTTGAGGAGTTAGAGGGAATAAGGAAGAAGTACCAAATACCCTTGGAGATAGGGCTGAGATTGCCCACCACCACGGAAATGGCATCAGATGTGCGGCCGGGTGAATTTTGTTTGTACGATGAGGCATTTCGAGGGGGTTCGAGGCTATCTCTCCTCCAAGTGGTGGTGGATATTCTGAATAAGCTAGAAGCGACGCCAGGGCAATTGATGCTGAACGCGTGGAAGATAATAATGGCCTGCGCCAGTGCCTGGCTTCAGGCGACCGAAGGGACGGCAATGACAGTAGAGGAGTTTTTCTCCTGCTAGAAGGCTTCCGGTCAGCAGGAGACTTGGGTCACGCTGCAGGCGGTGGCAGGGCGAGGACTGGTGGCAGGTCTTCCATCGTCGGTGAAGGAATGGAGGCCGAGATGGTTTTTTGTGACGGCGAACGCTGGGGCGGGAGTTCGCACCATATGGAAGGTGCCAACCAAATCGGCAGAGCCCAAGTTGGACAAGGCGGTTGAGGATCGAGTGAAAAAGGTGAGGAAACAGAGAGAAGAGAAGGGGGTGAGGTGGGATGAGCTGGTCCTGCCCTCAACATTGTTCGCCCTGAAATTGGGATCGCAACCGTTGGGGGAGGACCCAGCAAGGGAAGAGCTGGAAGCGCGGAGGAAGGCGAAGGAGGAGCTTCACTCTACTTTGAGGTTTTCTTACATCTTATACTTCACAATGATTTATACACAAACCCTGTGTAAGTCACCATTCTCATTCATTGCAAAATTACAAACATAAAAACAACAGTGTGCCAAACACAATTCATAATTTTATTTATTCACAAGCTTATACATAAGTTTACTACAGAAATTTAAAAAAAAAAAAAAAAAAAAAAAAAAAAAAAAAAACAACAACAACAACAACAACCCAAACT